GCATAAAACACGTGGAGTCGCCCTGCGGATGCGTGGCGGAAAAAAATACATAATGAGGATGCTGGGAATGCCTCAATTCCCCGGATGACTCATCTCACAGAAAGACTCCCGAGCGCCGTTCTGCCATGCCGCCGCCAGGAGAGCGCGCACTGTGACTATCGACTTTTCGCCATATCTGATTGGTCCATGGTCGCTGACGCCTTCTCATCAAGAGGACTGAATAAATACACCCGCAGCCTTTTGCGAGAGTGACTTGCTTGTGTAAATACACTTCTCCTCCTGGCCGATTGACTTCTCTCGTGCTGGCGATCGGAACAACAGCCGGGCTAGCTCGGAGTTTGTGCTAATTACAGGTAGCAGGCGCGGGTCGTAAGAGAGGACCCCCAAAGTTAGACTGCCCAAAATTGAAAGAATGTTCGAGGTGGCGGTGTGCCCTTTCCGCGAGACCACCTTTCACTTTCATCCTCTCAAGTCAGCAACCACCGTTTAACTGACGATATTTATGCTGAGGTGATAGAGTAAAATGAGAGAAACATCAACGCAGAATCAATATTCACTAGATGAAATCAACTGTCGAATGAGCATATCTGTTTATTAGAATACGATATCAGGAATGGCCATAGCATAATGGTTGCAATGACAATTCTACTAGAAATGAGTTCCCAGGTGTGGATATCAAGAAATGAGATACAAACACAAATTGTGGGAAAGCTTAGTCTGTAAAAGGGATAAATTTACACTCAAAAGAGAAAAAACAAACTGGTATGGACTGCGAATAAGTTAATTACACCAAATTGCAAAACCACAGTCCGTGCAAATGCGTCAGCAAAATACGGTTGCTGTTTCAGCTAGCACTAATGCTGGTTTAGAGGGCTTGAGATTCCCCGAAAAAAATGTATGTATGCACATGTCCCAATATGTATTTCCCAAAAAGATGAAGCGTAGAATGAAACATCAATGATATATCAGATATGGAAAGGAGCATAAAATACAGCTGCGGGAGCTGAAATATGCTGATCATCCAATAAGCGATTTTACCGAGACAGATTTGTTACAAACAGTTCACTCATAGTAGTCAATACCTGATCTTCTTTGCCGAGTTTTGTATGCGGCTTGGCCATACGTCTTTCATAGCCAGTGTTTTTTATTGTTGATATTGGGCAGGTTAGGCAGGTCTAGCAGGCGATTTCTTGTTGACGAAACTATGCAATTGACAGTTGGGAACAGCCTGTCTGTAGCCTACATTTGCAGCTTCCACACTGAACACTCCATCTATTGCTGATAGAAGCGAATATGCGGGTTACAGGAAGCAGTTCAGAAGAAGAAGATGCGATCACTGGAACAAGAATTTTATTTTCCTGACGTTTTGGATTCTGTCGAGCATCCTTACTCACAGGTAACCGTAGAATGGTGTGAGGCATGCGCAGATTGTGGTGCTACATGCACAGATAGCCGATTATTTATAGTTCGTACCGGTCATCCGCATGCGTACTTTAATTTATCAGCTCCTGTAACCACCGCTTGGGAGTATTAATTGACTAGACACTTCGTTTTTGACTCATTAATTGTCGCGATTTCGTTGTCACAGTGCACACATTGCGCAGTACCACACCAATCTGCGCATGTCTCACACCATTCTACGGTTACCTATGAGCAAGGATGCTCGACAGAATCCGAAACGTCAGGAAAATAAAATTATCATTCCAGTGATGGCATCTGTTTCAACTGAACTCCATCTATGGTGCTCTCCTCTCGCAAACGCGAGGTTCAGGCGAAGATGCTAACCTCGACAGCTCACAGTTTGTGCGTGAGTTATTAACAGCCAGGGGTCTGGGGAACGGTTAGCTGTATTCGAAATACCACAACAAGCCCTAACGGTCGCACACAGAAAACTACGCCAAGTCAAGGCCAGGCGCGACCGCAATCATGTGACCTCGCAGCCCAATATAAACGAGAGCCGAGAAAGGGTTCAGCTTACAGTCGGCGGAGTTACAAGTGTTGGCGGAATATAAAACATGGAATTCACGTGACTCATTAGCATCGTAAA